ATACATACATACATACATACATACATATATATATATATATATATATATATATATATATATATATATATACATATATATATATAATGTACGCACCTCATACCACAACTCTATCTTGCCGCACCAGTCCAGCGCGTCTTTGAAAGTTATGCGCACAGAATGCGCTGTCATGGCGGCCACTTGCGTTTCACGGAAGAGCGAGAAGATCTCCTCATGCGCAGTGAGAATTTCGTTCACTTTGGATAGCCTAGTGAACAGAAGGTGTGGGGTTTATAATCTATGCAACACAAGGTGTGGGGGTTATAATCTGTGCAACACAAGGTGTGGGGGTTATAATCTATGCAACACAAGGTGTGGGGGTTATAATCTATGCAACACAAGGTGTGGGGGTTATAGCCTAGTGAGCATAAGGTGTGGGGTTTGAGAGGTCCAAGCACACTGGCCAGGTATGCTTTGTATATCTGCGAGAACCGGGGCGTGATCTCGCAGGTGGATCTTTCTCTATCAAGTGTTGTGTGTAGGTGTGTTGTTTACATCTGTGTGTGTGTTGTGTATAGGTGTGTTGTTTATATCTCTGTGTGTGCTGTGTATAGGTGTGTTGTGTATATGTGGTCGCTAACTCAGGTACTGACTCAGGTACTGAATCACTTTGGTGCTTGCACAACGGTGTCTCTTATTTTGGTATTAACAATAGTACGGCTCGCCAGATGAGACATGAATTGATACACAAACGGGCGGACTAGTATCGCGTGTTAATCGGACAACAGCGATCAGGGTATGTCACAACACCTCTACGTGACCGTGCATTGGGCACGGTCGGTCCTCGCTACTTGTCCCTGACCGTCACGGCTTGAAAAAGGACATCGAACAAAGTGGACAAGTAAAAAAAGGACAAGTTGCGAGGTCCGACTGTGTGCGATTATGGGTTCAATTGTGGTTCTGATGCCACGCCACAAATGCCATAAACGGTCGCAGCAGCTGTCACATACTTGGCCACTTGATTGTCGAGCAGCTCACAATACACATTGGTAGTCGCCAGGTGGTGTTGCAGTGCCGTTGTTATGGCAACGTCATTCGATTCTGCACGATATTTTTCAATAAAGATCAAGATATCCAAAGTTCGACTGTGAGTAGTGAGCTTTAGAGGATCGGAACCATATGATTGGTAGCATATACTTTATACCCCACAGGAACACACTTGCAAAATGCCTGATACTACATTACAAGCTGAGTTAATACGACTGCACAAGCATGCAGCAACAAGCAACAGATATCGCTACCTGAACTTCAAACGTGCAAGACCATGTAGATAAGAAAACATAGACATCTTTCACGTACACAATTGAACTAAACATATACATCATCACAAACACAATTGCACTAAACATAGACATCCATCACGTACACAATTGAACTAAACATAAACATCATCACAAACACAATTGAACTAAACATAGACACTCACAAACACAATTGAACTAAACATAACACAGTTGTGCAATTACTAACATCTATCACACAGCTGTGCACTTACTGATATCTAGGCCATCCATATTGATAAGTGTCAAGAGCCAACTAAGAAAACGGAATGGCGAAACAAATGAAGGCAATGGTGAGCACAACACCTCTTGATGGACAAACAAAGGTTAGTGTGGTTCAAGGAAGACGAATGAATGGGCAATGCGAGTTCAACGATAGTGAACATTCCTCCCCGCCATGATCACTGTTCTTCCCGTCCATGTACATACACTCAGCTTTACACCACACATGCATATACATACACTCAGCATTACACCCCACATGCATATACATACACTCAGCATTACACCCCACATGCATATACATACACTCAGCATTACACCCCACATGCATATACATACACTCAGCATTACACCCCACATGCATATACATACACTCGCCATTACACCCCGCATGCATATACATAAACTCGCCATTACACCCCGCATGCATATACATAAACTCAGCATTACACCCCCACATGCATATACATA